CCCTATTTCTGTATTTTATTTAAAGAGAGGGTCTCACTGAGTTGTTTAGTGCCTCATGAGGCTGGCTTTGAACTTGTGATCCTCCTGTCTCAGCCTCCCAGGCTGCTGGGATTACAGGCATGCGCTACTGTGCCCAGCTCTTTTCACTCTTTTAATAGAGCTTTATTTTATGAATACATTTTAAAAATATATTGAATTCATCCATATTTTTTTTATGTTTCTTAGGGCTTTACTTGTGTCTGACTTAAGTCCTTTCTTCCCTTAGTTCAGAAAGGCATTTACTAGTAATTTCTTCTTATAATTTTTCTTTTACCAATAATTCTTCATTTTAACTGGAATTGATTTTTTGTGTATTATGTAAAATGGGGGAGTATTTATTTATTATTTTTACATGGATGTCTAATTATAAATTCTCATCACACATCTATAGACTCTTTTGAATTCCAATAATATGGTAATGTCATCTATGAATAAAATGTAGTTTTGTTTCTCCCTTTACAGTACTTATATCTTTTATGCATTTTTCTTATCTTATTGCACTGAATGTAAGCTTAATTAAAAATGAGGTAGTTATGGTGAGAGCTGATAGTTTATCTAGTTCCTCATTTTGACAGGAAGGATTTAAATATATCACCATGACACATTATGTACGCTGTATGCTTGAAAAAAGACAGGTTTCTTCAGATTTTTCTCTATCCCCATTTTGCTAAAAGGACTTTTACAAGTGGATGTTGAATTGTAGCAAACATTTTTTAAATGCATTTATTGAAATAGTCCTACAAGTTTTGTTCATTTTTCATTTATGTTGATTGACTTTAAATAATTTCTGAATATTTTATCAGCCTTGCAATCCTGGGAAAACCCAACTTGGTCATGATACACTGTATGTTCTTTTGCATTATTGTCATTGAACTGCTAGTATTTTACTTAGAGTTGGTACATTTGCCTGTTTTACTCCTTTGCAGTGTTTTTTTTTTTTTCCCCATCAGCTTTGGGTATCCAGGTAGGCATGGTGGTGTTCTTAAAAGGCAATTGGTGAGTATTCTCTGTTCTTGAAAGAGTTTTGCAGGCCAGAAATGATTTATTTCTTGAATTGGTTATAGAATTCACTGTCAGTCATTTGGGCCTGGAATTTTTTTTTTTGAGGAAAGAGTTTTGGTTACGAATTTAACCCTTTCAATGGCTGCATGTTTATTCAGATTTTTCTTTATGTCTTAAGTTAGTCTTGATGAGTTACATTTTTCTAGACATTTGTTTATTTAATTAAAATTAATTTGCTTAACATTATTGATAATATTCTCTTTACTTTAATATCAGAGATGATGTCATTTTTTCATTTCTGATATTGGTTACTGGTATTTTCCCCATAGAATAATTTTCATCAGAAGATGTAAATTGTGTTTTCAAGAAATAATCTTTTATCTCCATTTGTCTCTTCTGTCTTATTCTATTTTGTTACGTTTTCCTTTCATCTGTTTTGTCTCTTTTATCCTCCTTGAACTGATTTTTTTTTTAGGATTTTTTTTTAGAGAGAGAGAGAATTTTTAATATTTATTTTTTAGTTTTTGGCGGACACAATATCTTTGTACGTGGTGCTGAGGATCAAACCCGGGCCGCATGCGTGCCAGGCGAGCGCGATACTGCTTGAGCCACATCCCCAGCCCCCTTGAACTGATTTTAAAGTTCTTTTCATAATGTCTCAAGATAGATGCTTAGCTCATTATTTTGCATCCTTTGTTTCTTTTGTAGCATTTACATGTAATGTAATGAATTTCTTATAAATAATGTTTTATGTTGGTCTACATTTAGATAAAAATACTTTCCATCTTTATTGATGAATACTATATACAGAATTGTGGATTTCATTGTGGTCTATTTGTACTTGTGCATAAGTTTGTCAGTTTCACTCTCTAGTACCTCCCCTCCTGACTTCCCCTGATCCCTTTCTTTTACGTGCTGGTCTCCTTTCTATTTTTATGAGATACATGATAAAAAGATTTTTCTAATAGTCATTTTGGTTTCTTCTTTTACTCCTAGATTATTCCTAGATGAGTTTCCAATTCTCAAACATGTGGGGATTTATAGTTATATCTTTGTTATGACTTTTAGCTTAGTTGCATATGGTTTGTAGGATTTCAACCCTTTGACCTTTACTGAAGTTGCTTTATGTTATGACTCAGTAAGTGAACAAGTCTTGGAAAATTTTCTTCAGTTCTCAAAGATGATATATTCTTGGTGATGCTGTATACATGTCCTTTAGGTTGATATTGTTAGTTGTACTTTTCAAGTATTAAGTTCTGAATTTAAAGGAATTTGTTCAATCAGTTACAACGTATGTGTTAAAAATCTCTCAATAAGAATGGATTTGACCCACGCCTGTAATCCCAGCGATTTGGGAGGCTGAGGCAGGAGGATTGTGAGTTCAAAGCCAGCCTCAGCAACTTAATGAGGACCTAAGCAACTCAGTGAGACCCTGTCTCTAAATAAAAATATAAAAAGGACTAGGGCTGTGGCTCAGTGCTTAAATACCCCTGATTTCAATCCCTGGTACCAAAAAGGAGAAAAAAAACATAAAAGAATGGATTTGTCTATTTGTTGTTCTATAAATTTTTCCTTGTGATTATTTGTGGCTTCTTTATTGCTTAAAAAATATTAATGGAAATGCTATATTTCCCTACTTAATGGAAGATTTCATTCTTATTACATTTACCTTTATATTTGTAAGAATACCTGGAAGTCTATTTGGTTGGTAATAATAATAAGCCATAACAATATTTTAACAGCATATTATTTTTCTTTTTTCTTTTTTTTTATTAGTTGTGGATGGACCTTTATTTTATTTATTTATTTATATGAGGTGCTGAGAATCAAACCCAGTGCCTCACACATGCTAGGCAAGTTCTCTGCAACTGAGCCTCAGTCCCAGCCCAACATATTATTTTTCAACTGTTTAATTTCAATCTTTTTTAAATGTAATACATTGAGTGAACATTTTACCAAACAAATATTTGTTAAAGTATACAGAAAATGCACAAAAACATACATGCATAGCGAATTGGAATTTTTCAAAGGGCGCACACTCACATCAACACACCCAGATCATGAGCAGTGCTCCAGGTTCCTCTTCAGATCCCTACTCAGAGACAGTTAGTACTTGTAATTATTAATAAATGTACAACAGAATGCAGGGGAATGATTTACAGAAAGTGAAAGGGATGTGTTGAGACGGAACTACTTCAACTATATGATTTCATGCTAAAGTAATGCATGGTTACATTAGAAAACAATACATTCCACTATGAGATAAAAAATAATATATTGAGCTGGATGCCTTGGTGCACATCTGTCATCTCAGCAACTCAGGAGACTGGAACAGGAGGATTGCAAATTTGAAGCCAGCCTGGACAAACTAGCGAAGGCCTTTCTCAAAAACAAATAGACAAACAAATAAACAAACAAACACCCCTCCAAAACTAAAAATCAAAATCTCAAAACAAAAATAAAAAAGATTCTGTATGTAGCTCAGAGAAAAAGTGCCCTGGATTAAATCCTCAGTACCAAAAACAAACAAACAACAAAACAAAACAAACAGAAAAAACAAAAACAAAACAAAACAAAACAAAAAAACAGAAACAAACTAAGCAAGAGGTTGCCATCGCTTATTTGGCTATCAAATTAATTGATATTAAGGAGAAAATGTGAACATCAAACATCAACATTTTAAAAGATGTAAATAAAAGTCATTCTTATTTGATCATTTTGGCAAAATGAATAAAGAGCTCTAAGAATGTTTTACTTAGACATTCTACTTCTGAACATATCAGAGGTAATAAATTATAAATACAAAATAGAGAAATTATAAATACAAAATCTTTTTAGAGATTTTCATTTCATTGTTATTTGTAATACTGAAAGTTTAGAAACCCCCCAATCATGCAGCAATAATGAAATATTACATAAATCATGGATCTGTGTTCTAATGTCACTTGAACAGCTTTTTGGGAAGTTAATAATAATAATACAGAGATAACTTTTAAGACTAAGTGGAAAAGTATATATAATTGCAATTATTTTTCTCAACAAAGTAAAAGAGAAAAATATTTAGAAATAGAAGAGAAATGAGTACTATATTACCAGTGGTTTTCTTTCTTTATTTATTTAAAATTTTTTTTTTAGTTGTAGATGGACACAATACCCTTATATATTTTTATGTGGTGCTAAGTATTGAACCCAGTGCCTTACATGTGCTAGGCAAGCACTCTGCCACTGAGCCATAACTCCAACCCCAGCAGTTGTCTTTAAATGGAAGGATGCATGTTTTTTCTTTTTTCTATTTGTTTATGTTTGACAAATTTACTATAATGATATGTACATTATAGTATAAGCAATAAAATAAATCAGAGTTTAAAAACTAAAGAATCAAGGACTTGTGCCCCGAACTAATAATCACTTACTGTTAGTGTTTTTAGTCTAATCCCAGTTGGGCGATTTGGATGGGTACCCTGATCTATTTGTGCCTAGATTATTCTAGAATTATTCTTGTTCTCAGTTACAGTGTGTCTTCTTGATTCAGCTTTGTCCTTTTTGTGGTTAATCTGTGAGTGAGCTACTTCCACAGCTGGACTTAGAAGTAGCTCCCAAAACTCAGAACACTTGACACGTGTCAGATTTTGTCAGCATTCCTTATCTCTTGGTGAGACTTCCATCATGGACTGAGTTGTTAACTGAGCTTCCTTCTACAACCTAAATTCTGTCTGGTTCCATTCTTTTGGTGGTTCCCACCCTCTGATTTGAATCTGATTGGATACCTGAATCCATCAATTAAGTCACCGTGAAGGGATTGCTGGCCTCCTTCTCTCCAGGATGTAGCTCTCTCCTTGATCAGTTGATCTTATTCCAGGTTTGCCAATCTGGCATCCCTCACTGGTTAAACCTGTTTGTGATGCTGAGCATCAATCCTGCCTTGAATTTGAGTTCTTCAAAGATTGTAATAGAGGGGTTCAGTTATAAATACATTTTAAAGAGCCAAGGCTTCTACTCTGTGGAAGTGCCCTTTCCTGAGTACAGCATTTTCCCAAGCTAAACAGTTTCCACAAAGCCCCCTTCACATGCCTGTTCCTCAGGCTGTAGATAAAGGGGTTCAGCATGGGGGTGACCATTGTGTATATCACAGATGCCACCACTCCAAAATCTGCTGAGTAGGAGGATGAGGGCTGAAAATACACCAGGAAGAGGGTTCCATAGAATACGGTGACTACTGTCAGGTGAGAGCCACAGGTGGAGAAGACTTTGTGCTTCCTCCCAGCAGAGGGAATCCTGAGGATGGTGTGCATGATGTGGGCGTAAGAGACCAGGATGCAGGTGAGAGGTATAATACCTGAGAGAATTGCTTCAGTTAACATTGTGACCTGAAAGGTATGGGTGTCTGAACAGGCAAGCTTGAGGAGTGGGGGTACATCACAGAAGAAGTGTGGGATGGAGTGGGAGGCACAGAAGGAGAGCTGAGCCATCTGGAGAGTGAGGGAAAGGGCCAGGAGGTTGGAGCAGAGCCAGGACGTGGCCACCAGCAGCTGGGGACACATGACAGTGGTGTAGTGCAGAGGCAGGCAGATGGCCACGTAGCGGTCATAGGCCATGATGGCCAGCAGGAAGTCATCCAGCAGGGCCAGTGCCATGAAGTAGTACATCTGCAGGAGGCACCCAGTGTGGGAGATGGTGTGCTGCTGCGTGTGGATGTTCACCAGCACCTTGGGGACAATGGTGCAGGTGAAGCAGGTATCCACGAAGGACAGGTTGGCCAGGAAGAAGTACATAGGTGTGTGGAGGTGCGGGTCAGAGCCAATGGCCAGGATGATGAGCAGGTTGCCCAGCAGGGTGACCAGGTACATGCCCAGGAAGAGCCCAAACAGGAGAGGTTGCTGCTCCTGGTGCTCAGAGAAGCCCAGGAGCAGGAAGTCAGAGATGGAGCTTTGGTTTTTTACTTCCATTCAAAGTAGAACAATTTGTGAAAAACATTGGTCACATGTGTATAGACTTCAAAAATTTGTAGTATTTAAGGCCTTTCATCTGTTTTCTGTGATTTTCTTAAAGATCACAGAGATACATTGGTGTCTCTTGGTACCAGGCATATAAACATGTCAAGAGGGAAGAATTCTGTAAGATGATAAAGGAGATGTTGTTGGGAGTGAGTTTTGTATTCAGTTATCTAGTAAGTTGTCCTGTAGACCTCAATGAGGTTGAACTGGAATTTGGCTAGGAAGAACCTTTCTAAATCAGTCTCCCCTCTCCTCTTTCTCTTTTATTAGGAAAACTATCAGTTTTGAAGGATTGCAAAAGTTGAATCTGATATATATAGGAGTGTGTATTTACTAGAAAATTATCAAGAGGGGTGTGTGTGTGTGTGGGGGGGGGGCGTTTGGGAGAGAAGAGGTAATGATTTACAAGGATGGGTCATTGCTGAGTCTCAGATACTCTTGATATAATGGAATTATGTACTCTCTCTTTCCTATGTAGACCCAACAAATGAGATTATGTGGACAAAACATCTTTCTAGTACATAGCACACAGGGCCTGGGTACCATTATTACACAGTTACAAAGTGTTGGCATTGCCAGGAACTTGGATATGGCTCATCTGTCTTAACTTTAGGCTGATTCCCAGGGAGGCCATGAATATTAAATTAAGTCATGAAGATTAGTAAATCCACTTGTATTTGGCTGAAAATGAGGAAGGGAAAGAAAAGGAGGAAGGAAGAGAAGTTGTGTGTATGTGCGCGCGTGTGCAGGTGTGTATATGAGAGAGAGAAGAGGAGGAGAAGAGGAGAAGAAAAGAGACTAATGTCTTCCAACTTTGCCTGATTCTTACCTGGAAGTTGTGGCCATCCTCAGAGCCTGTCACCACCTCTGGGTGTTGGGTCTGCCTTCCTGTTTCACCTGCCTCCCTGCTTCTCCTTAAGAGGACTAGTAGAAGCCAGACTTGGTGGGTGAGGAAGCAACCTGTCCTCGGGAACAGGAGCAGGGAAGAGCTTTGGGCTTTTCATATGCAGTTGTCTCCTGAGACCCAAGCCCAGACCTAGTGAGAGACAAGATGGGGCAGAGGTCCAACCTCCCACCTGTCCCCTCTGGGCCTGGAGTCCTGAGTCCTAACAGTATCAGGAGCATTTTTCCATCAGATTCAGGGTCTGGGAATCCTGAGACAACTTCTCTGGTGCTCCTTCCCTAAGGCAAAGCAGTGGGAGGCTCCATCTTCTCCCACCCTAACTTGCCATGGAATCCTCAAATTCTAACAGATTCCAATCCTCATGAAGAAACCCTGTCACCTCCCAGCAAATACGTAATGATCAGTAGGTAGAACAGACCTGGTATGGGATAGCAGCATAATCATTGTGTCCAGATGGCTACAGAGCTATCATATAGAAAAAGTAAACAGACTTGATCCCTGTGACTCCAGAGGAGAGACATGTGACTCATACATAAAATATGCAGAGGTTATAGGCACTTCTCCATGAAAGATTATGAAAAAAATTAAAACAGTAGAATGATAACAAAAATATATAGGATAAGCAGGAATAATTTTCTTGTGGTTTTACCTTCCATCATATATACGTAAATCATTCACTATTTATGTCTGCCTATGTTTGTCCTTTCCATGAATGGAATCCTTTCTCGTCTTTCAGTCAATATGATGTGTTGAGTCCCCCTGCCCGCAGCATGGTACCAGGGATTGAACTTAGGGGCCTTGTAAATACTAGGCAAGCACTGAGCTATATCCCCAGCCCCTTTTTGTTTTTATTTTGAGACAGGGACTTGCTAAGTTGCCCAGTCTGGCCTCAAACTTACGCTCTTCCTGCCTCAGCCCTCTGAGTCACTAGGATTACAGTGCACCACAGTGCCCAGTTCAATCTGAAGTTTTCGATATTCATGTTGATACCTGTAATTCAGGTTCATATTATACTTCTCTCTACTATTAGGGAATTTTTGCTTTGGAATGCAGAATGTTTCAACTTTAGAAAAGAATATTGTGCGTATATCATCTGTTATATGGTATCCATAGTAGGTTCTGAGGTTGTGCATTATAATAAAACACAGTAATATTTTGGCAAATAAATGCTCATATCAAGCTAGATAAAAGGACACATACCAATCTGGGTCAGGTTTTGCTACAAAATAAGTTTGCTGAAACTCTTTCATTGATTTAAAAAAAATCTTTATTTTATGAATTTATTTTTATGTGGTGCTGAAGATAGAACCTAGAACTTGCTAAGCAAGCACTTTACCACTGAGTTACAACCCCAGCCCACTTTCATTGATTTTTGGATTCCAGGATTGTAGCAAATGGATGTGGGCTTCCATTCCTTTGTGAGATTATTACCATAATGTATCTATTTGAATGTTTGGATGTTGATGAACATTTGGGCTGGTTGTCATGTTTTTGCCATTATTTAAACAGTTTATTATCTCAGTTGTGATAATAAATTTAGAACTCCTTCTTATCTTATAAAAATACAACCATAAAAAACAAGAAAAAAACCCATAAGAAGTGAAGTCTAAAAAAATGCAGAAATGGCATTTAAATAAGTGGAACCTGGCCTTCTATATTGTTTATTTCTTCTCAAAAAAATGTCCCCATGCAAATAGGAGAAACATTTTGAGACTACCTCTTCTAAAGAAAATATCAATAATAATGATGATAATAACAATAAATCAGTTCTTTGTTCTGTTATTGATATTTTAATGAGTGCTCAAGACTTATTATTTCAATAAAAATGGCCAGAAAATGTATATTTTGTTCCCTTTTAGTCTTATCTTAAATTAAGTTAGATTTTTTTATAAGTGAGAAAATAAAACCATAATAAAGCCAGAATATAATGTTTTTCCATTTCAAAGTTATGCCATAAACATGTTGTACGGTTTTCTGGTGCACCTGCTTAAAAGTCTCTATAGTTTGAATCAAACTACAGAGAAATGTCCACTGGATCATTGCTTAGTGCATTAGTTCAAGGTTTTCTGAGAAGCAGATGTCAAGATGTGATTAGATGTATGTATTAGTCTCCCGAGGAAAAGATCAAATAGGATATTTATAGATATACAGAAAGAAAGTTATTATTGGGAGGGATTGTCTGACATGATTATGGAGGCTAAGAAGTCCTGTGCTTACCCAGGAAAGTCAGGAGTACAGTTCAAGCTTACAGACCCCAGAACCCAGGAAGCCAGTAGTGTCAGTCCCAGTCCAAATTTGAAAGACTGAGAACCAACAGAGCCAAAGTGCAAGGGTGGAAAAAGGTGGATGTCATAGCTCAAGAGTAAATTCACCTTTCTTCCTCTTTTTTGTTCAGTTTGGTCCCTGAGTAGATTGGATGGTACCCACATGCATCAGTGAGGGTGATCTTCTACACTCAAGGCTACACACAAGTCAAATGATAACCTCTCTGGAAAGAGCTTTAGAGATACATCGGGCATCCGTTAACTCAGTCAAATTGAGGCGTTAAAAATCAGCCTCCACAAATGTGGGGAGGGAGCAGGAGAAATCTCTCATATTTGGTTTGAAGAACAGAGAAAATGAAGGGAGATTGGGGTAGGAAGAAAGTCTTGGATTGCAATGAAGTACCAAGAAAGTTCTGGCCAATGGTGCATCCTAGAATCAAAGTTATCCATCTGAAGAGTCCCCTGTTTCTCTGGAATGGGCCTGCCTTGGTGCCTCTGCAATGCCCAATGACTGTCCAGGAGCAGCCTGTGTAAATGTGACACCAGGGCACACTGTGGTGATTGGTTGTTGAGTCAACAATGAAGCTTCTAGAGATGGTAAAGCATATACATTCTATTCTGTTCTTCTAGCCAACTTTCTCAAAGCCTGTTTTATATCCTTGTTTCGAAGGCTGTAGATGAAAGGGTTCAGCATGGGAGTAACTATTGTATAGATGACAGTGACCACACGGTCCTTTGTCACTGAGTAGGTAAATGAGGGACGAATGTACACAGATATTATGGTCCCATAAAATAGTGCCACAACTGTGAGGTGGGATCCACAGGTGGAGAAGACCTTGTACCTGCCTCCCCCTGAAGGGACCCTCAGAACAGCACGGGTGATGTAGACATATGAGACAATAATGAAAATGAAAGGACTCATGATCACAAAGGAGCCCTCTGTGAAGGCCAAAAGTTCATTGACAGAGGTGTCAGAGCAGGAGAGGGTCAGCAGTGGCTGGACATCACAAAAGAAGCGATGGATGACATTGGGGCCACAGAAGGAAAGGCGGCCCATGAGAATTGTGTGGGCAAGTGAGTGGAGGTGGGACACCACCCACGATGCAGTCACCAGCAGGAGACAGCACCTGGGGCTCATGGTTGTAGCGTAATGCAGTGGGTTACAGATGGCGACGTAGCGGTCAACGGCCATGGCAGCCAGGAGAAAACTGTCAGTGATACCAAAGGCCACAAAAAAATACATCTGGGTTAGGCAATGGGCAAAGAGGATGGTCTTTCTCTGTGTTAGCATGCTCACTAACATCTGTGGCACAATGACAGTGGTGAAGCAGATGTCCACCAGGGACAGGTTGGAGAGGAAAAAGTACATGGGGGTGTGTAGGTGAGCATCCCCCCAGATGGCTGCAATGATGACTGAGTTGCCAACCACATTGACCAGGTACATGGCGAAGAAGCTGGAAAAAAGCCATACTTGTTGTCTGGCATCAGTGGTCAGTCCTAGAAGGAGGAATTCAGTCACATGGCTCTGGTTCGCCCTCAGCATTGTTGTCCTACAAGTAAAAAATGTGAAGGGATGTTAGAGCATCAGGGAGCCATTCATGTAGACCACCAGTTAGTCAATGATACAGCTTCATAGCATTGGTGCTGGCATACTTTGATTTCACTTCCAGTTTTGCAACTAATTGTGCAAACTTGAGCACTCGAGCTCTTGTTCCTCGTCCAAAAGACAAAACTTATGACATTCACATTCTTTGGCTATTTTGGAGACAAATGGTAAAGATTAC